GATTCCCAACACCACAAACAAAATAAATAAAAAAAATAAATAAAATCCCTCTAGAGAATTACTACTTCCAGTGTGTTACAATTTTTTGTTTTGTTTTATTTGGCATGGGGAATTGTGTCCATCTGGAATTATTAGGAGCAGAACACAGGTCTTTGAAGTACTGACTCTCAGAACATCACAGTGCTGGACTCTTCTTACTGTTTGACTCTGCTGATTTCTGTGGCAGTTGGGACACAGGTTGCTTCTTGGCCTGTACCAGAATTGCTTTCTTCCTCCCCTAATATTTATCACTTTGTCGTCCCTGATTCTGAATCCCAGAGATCAGGACTAGCTATAGTTCCAGCACGGGAGCAATAAATCATTGCTCCTACTTCCTTTCCTCCAGGTTTCCGCCTCTTAATTATACCACATAGTCATTGGTGAGGCTGCATCTTTGTGCTATGTGTGCTGAGAACAAAAGCTCTTGTTGATTGGATGTGTGCAAAAGCTGCTTTGTCTCTCTCTGGCCCTTATATTCTGCAAAATGTGTGCTACCTATTTTGTTCTCTTGTCACCTGTGAGATTATGAGGTCCGATTTTTAGTTGTTTATCCATGCACAGGGCTTAATGCAAGTGCTGGGATTAGGAAGTGAGATGAGCCACCATTAAAAAGCTTGGCAAGGCGATCTTCATTAAAGGGAAGTTTGGGCTGGGGTTAGTCATTCTTACATAGCTTGCCCCCTTCACTCCCTGGACTGCTGGTAGAAGGTAAGCAGGCTGTGGTGATCTATTACAGGCTTCCATGGATTTTTTTTTTTTTTTTTTTCTCTTTTTCTTCCCAGTCCATGAAAAGGGCTAGCTGAAACCCCTAAGAACTTACATCCCGGCAGGAGAAAAGAGTTCATATATGAGGATGTCTACCTTCTTTATCCCTAACCAAGGCTCTTTGCCATCAGAGGGAAAGATTCAGGCTTTAGAAACTGTAGATATAGCCAAACTCTTGCACTTTCTTTGCCTGCTATTTCTTTACTGTACCTATGCTGTTAGAGGACTGGGAGTGAGGAGCATTGTATAGCAGATAGCAGTCTCTGCAGTCTCACTCCTGTTCATCCTTCCCTGCTGCTCCAAATCAAAATTCACATCCCTATCTAAGAGTTGTAAACGTTACAAGAAGCTCAGGCAGCATAGGGAGAATAGGCTTCTTTGCTGGCAAAGAAGAAGATAAGGTGAGACTGACAAAGTGGCTTAAGTGATAGAGCACCTGCCTACTAAGTATGATGCCCTGAGTTCAAACCCTAGTGCCTCCCCCCCGCAAAAAAAAAAAGAAAAAAGGAGAGGTTAAAGGCGAATGTTGTGGCACGTGTCTATAATCTCAGCACTTCAAAGGCAGAGGCAGGAGGATCACAAGTTTGAAGCTACATAGGAAAAAATAAATGTGAGAATGGAAGGAAGGAAAGAAAAGAAAAGAAAAGGAGACATCAGTGTTTTTTTTTGGCGGGGAGGGTTGTGCAAGGGAGAAGATTTGAGGGGGAGAAGACAGAAAGATCACAGTTCCCTTGTACCTGCTGACTCCCACTCTGTATAGTTTCCTGTCAAGAAGAGGAGTAGGTACAGGAACTTAAGTCAAGATGGGCAGGATTCATTCTACAGACAAATGTGAATTAATACAAAGCAACTGAGGATTTCTTTTATGCTTAATGCTTATTTGCAAAAATGTTTTTAGATCTGCACTTAACCTAGGGACTTGGCAGTTGCTTTACTGAGATTGTTTGAGTTTTAGCAGTCCCTCTTATTAATAAGGATTGCCAGGCGGAGAGGAAATCTTTTCAGTAAATGTTGCCACTGTCAAGAGAGGACCAGAGCAAGCTGTACTTTTTGTTTCAATAGCTAGAATAGAGTGTATGTGTGTTTTGCTGGGGATTAACCTCACACATGCTAGCCAAGTGCAGGTGCTTTATCTCTGAGCTACATTGCCAGGGTTTCACTAGGTTGCCCAGGCTGACCTTGAACTTGTGATCCTGCTGCCTCACTCTATCATTCCCTCAGATGGGCTTATAGGCTTGAGTCACCCCACCTGGCAGTATTTTTTTTTCTTTTTATGAGCTCAGTTCCTACCCAAAACAGTAGCCCAGCTGTAGGTTCTACAGGGAAGCTGCCATATCTGGTAACTAGTTAGAATGAATAGATTGTCCTCTTAGCAATGATGTTTGAAACAGATATATGGCTAAAGCTTGTTGACAGTAGATGCTAGCAGTCTGAGGTGGAAGAGCCCCTCATTTCTATCCGTAAATTGAGCAAATTTGATGGAGAAATCACCATGTGGGAGTAAATTTGGAACACTAAGATGTCAATTTCATAGTCACATCCCTGAGCTTAATTGCTGTTTAAGAAGTAGCAAAGAAGTAGATTTAAAAAAAAAAAACCTTATATGAACAGATGAGCAGACATATATCTAGAAAAGCAGTGCTTTCCTCAAATATGCCACACTTATCTGCTTTTTTTAGCATGGTGGGGGGAGTGCTAAACATTGAACCCAGGGCCTTGTGCATGTTGGGTAAGTGGTCTACTATTGAACTACACACCCCCAGTCCTTAATCTGCTCTATGAAAGAGCTTGGATAAAAGACTCCCTAAACACATGTGATAAAGTAAAAGTAGATAGGGAGGCAGGGGGCAGGGGGAAGAAATGACCCAAACAATGTATGCACATGTGAATAATTGAATAAAAAAAAAAATAGATAAATATGATTATATCAAACTAAGAAGCTTCTGCATAGGAAAGGCAACTACAGAATGGAAGAAAATATTTGCAAACTATTCATCTGACTAAAGATTAATATCAGAATTTATAAGGAACTCAGAGACCTTAACAACAATAAAAATTCAATTAAAAAATGGGAGGGGACTGGTGGAGTGGCTCAAACACTAAAAGTGCTTGCCTAGCAAGCATAAGGTCCCGAGTTCAAACCTCAGTGCCACCAAAAACAAACAAAAAAAAGGGAGGGAACTGGGGGCATACTTCAGTGGCAGAGCATATGCTTAGCATGCATCAAGGCCCAGGTTCAGAACAAAAAAACAAAGGGCACATAATCTTTTTTTTTTTTCTTTTATTATTCATATGTGCATACAAGGCTTGGGTCATTTCTCCCCCCTGCTCCCACCCCCTCCCTTACCACCCACTCCGCCCCCTCCCTCTCCCCCCTACCCCCTCCATACCCAGCAGAAACTATTTAGGGCACATAATCTTAATAGGTATTTCTCAAAAGAAGAAATACAAATGGCTAAAAAGATATATGGCAAATGCTTGAGCATTTGTCATTAAGGAAATGCAAATCAAAACCATAATGAGATATTATCTTACCCTAGTTAGAGTGGCTTTTATCAAAAAAGAGACAAAAAAATAACAAATGTAGGGCTGGGATGTAGCTCGGTGGTACAGCGCTTGCCTAGCATGCGTGAGGCCCTGGGTTCGATCCCAGCACCAAAAAAGAAAAGCACCAAAAAACAAATGCTGCTGAGGATCTGGAAAAAAGAACTTTTTTTTTTTTTAAGTGCTAGGGATTGACTTAGAGCTTTGCATATGCTAGGCAAGCACTTTACCACTTAGCTACATTTCCAGCCCAAAAGAATACTTTTACACACTGCTGTTGTGCTAGCTTTATCATTATAAAGAATGGTATGACGATTCCTCAAAAAATTAAAACTTGGGCTGGGGATGTGGCTCAATTACAATGCCTGCCTAGCAGGTACAAGGCCCTGAATTGAAATTCCATACTGTAAAATAAATAAATTATACAGAATTTGGGAGGTGGAGGCAGGTAGGTCACAAGTTCAAGGCTAGTCCAGGCTACATAGCAAGACTCTGTCTCAAACACCCTCCCACCCCAGCACTTACCCAGCACTCAAATAGTCAAGGCCAGAGGATTATAAGTTCAAGGCCAGCCTGGGCTACATAATAAGACCCTGTCTCCAAAAACAAAACAAGCAAAAAATTAAAATTAGATCTACCATATGATCCAGCTATGCCACTTGTGGGTACATGGCCAAAGGAAATGAAATCAACGTGTCAAAGAGATAACCTGTACTCCCATGTTTATTTCATCATTATTCACAAAAATAAAGATATGGAATCAACCTTAGGTATCCATCAACATATGAATGGATTTTTACTTTTTTTAATTTAAAAAAATTTAATTTTGGCATCACGCTTGCTAGGCAGGCCCTCTACCACTTGAGCCACTCCACCAGCCTGAATGGATTTTTAAAATGAGGCATGGCAGAGCATGACTGTAATCCCAGCAGAGGCAGAGGAAAGGGCATTTTGAGTTTGAGGCCAACCTGCACTACTACACAGTGAATTTAGGGCCAGCCTGGGCTATATAGGAGAACTTCTCTCAAGAAAAAAAAAAAATAGTGTACACACATTCATACATACATACATACATAAAATAATATATAGCCATAAAAGCCTCTCATTTGCACCAAAATGGAAAATGAGATGAAACTGGAGGATGGTATATTAAATGAAATAAGCCAGGCACAAAAAGAGAAATACCATGTTCTATCTCAGATACAGAAGCTAGACAAAGTTGATCTGAATGTAGAATAGTGATTACTAGAAATTGGATGCGGGTCAGGGGTAGAGGAAGGTTTGGTAATGGGTACCAAAAGACAGATAGAAGGAATAGGTTCTAGTCTTCCATAGCACAGTACAGTGATTATGACTCACAGCAATCTATTATATGTATATTTGGCAAAGAACTAGAAAAGAGGAGTTCAAAGACTCAAAATACAAGGAAAATATACGAAGAAGAAAATGCCAGTTACCCTGATTTGATCAGTACATGCTGTCTACTTGTATTGAAATAGCACACTACACTTCATAAATAAACACAATTATTACATGTTAATCAATAAAGCAAGCAAAGACCTTGCTTGGTAGCTGAGATTTATTCATTCTAGTCTTAGGGATTTAGCTTGAATAGTTTGTTAATGTCTTTTTGTTTTGTTTTGTTTTTTAAGCCTTGATAAATTTGCTGAAGTTCCTTATGTCAAATGAGACTGTACTTTTGGCCAAACACAACATTTTTACATTAGCCCTTATGGTGAGTAACAAAATAAATACTTCTTCCTTTGAAGTTGTATGCTACGGCAGAAGTCAACTGATTGAAACAGGAGCTGGTGATCGGGGACTAACTGTAGACAGAACCAGGCTATATTTTCCTTATGGATTGGAATCTCTAGACTGTTGCTCCCCATTCTCATCTATAGTTTTGGCAAACATGGAGACTCTTTTCTTTCATGAGAGTATATTGATTGGCAGGTATAGTGTGGGCGTAGGTCAGATTTCTGTGTAACAATAGTGAGCTTTGGTCCCTGCTGAGAGATTTTTCTATACTGTTGCAGTCTCTATTTTGGTAAATGACAAAGGCTCTAGAGGTATCCCAGCAAATGGTTCCATCATCATGGCTGTACTTAGTTTCTGAGGCAAATATAGATGCCTGTTTATCTGGCTGGTTATTTGGAGTAGGAAGCCATTGTGCCTTTTGACTGTCTTCCTAGGACAGTTTCTTCCTAATGTTCAAAATTTAGTGAGGGAGAAAAAGTCCTGATTCGTAGCATTTACACTTTCCATTGTACAACTGTACCTACCATGACCAATTTCAAGTTGTCAGCATGACATCAGAGTCATGCAGTGTTGGGAAGACATATGCAGTAGTATGCTGTTATTCCCACCACCCAGATATAAAGTAATTTCAAGAGCATAGATAATAGTAAAGGTAGAAAATAATTAGAGTGATGTTTTAAATATTTATTGCCTTCATTTTAATATAATTTAATTATAATATTATAGGAGTGAATTTGTAATAATGACTGTGATTTACAATCAGCTTACAAAATGCCTAAAAATTTGATAATCAGCTCTTGCAATCCAGTAAGAGAGGGTTATAGCATGCCAGTGATAATACCTTTGTGGTCTTTATGTGCTGATGTCTGTATATGGGCTATTGCTTCTTTTTTAGATTGTGAACCTCTTTAATATGTTCATTACATATGGCGACACATTCCTGCCAACCCCAAGCAGCTATGATGAACTTTACTATGAGATTATCCGTATGCACCAGAGCTTTGACAATCTCTACTCCATGGGTAAGCTGTCTTTTCTTTTACTCTTCTTTCTCTGTCCCTTGTCTGGCTTTTGTCATGTAAGAGAAAAATACTACAAAAGATGCTCCTCTAGTTGTTTGAAGCTCTTGATTGGCATACAAATATAAAGTACTCTCCTCTCCTCAAGCAATAGGAAATTTATATGTGGGCCTTTTTTTGTTTGTTTGGTAGGGATTTTTTGCATGGTTTTTTTTGTTTGTTTGTTTCTTTCTTTATTTGTTGGTCTTTTTGCCTTTAGAAACTCAGATTTTATCTTAGTGGAAAGCTGGTTAGCAGCCCTTTGGTGATGTCTGTAAACTAGGAAGATAATTAAAAAGCTTGTCAATTCAATGAATGCCAATGAGATGGGGGCCAAAGAGTGGATGAGAGTTGCTAAGGGCAAGTAGAGTGCTTGGATCCCAAAGGAATATGTGTAATTTGAGAAAGAACAGGATTTTAGGGTCTTAGTGTATCTGTGTATTTTTAGCATAATTTACAAGAAGTGGGCATTAGATAAAAATCATTTTAGCAAGCCTTTTAGTAATTGACCTGAAAATTTACTCTGCAGCTGCAGTGAGTATAATTTACTTGTGAAGGAGGTCATATGTAAGTTTGGGAAAAGGGTCTAGTAAATCCAGGTTGAAAGATAAGAAAAGATCATTGTAGATTGAACAGAAACAGAAATTCACTCAGCAAAACTATTTTATTTTTAAAAGCTCAACTTATGGAACTTGGGTGTGGTTCAAATGGTAGAATGTTTGCCTAGCAAGCATGAGGCCCTGAGTTGAATTTCTAGTACTACAACAAAAAAAAAAAAGGAAAGAAAGGTAAAAAAAGGGGGTGGGGAGAGCACCAGAAAAAAAATTCCCAACTTATTAGTTTTTTGTTGAAGTATAATTAATATATAATCAATTGTGCAGGTTTAAAATAATATTTTAGTTGGCACCAATGGCTCAGCTTGGGAGGATTATGGTTCAAGGCCAGCCCAGGCAAAAAATTTGTGAAATGCCCATCTCAACCAATAGCTGGGAGCAGTGGGACACGCCTGTCAGCCCAAGCTATGCAGGAGGCTGAGATTGGGAGGTTCACTGTTCCAGGACAGCCTTGGCAAAAAAAAAAAGTTTGCAAGATCACATCTCAATGGAAAAAAGCTGTTATCTCAGTTAAGGTGGAAGTAAGGATTGATTGAGGTCCAGGCTGCCTGGGCAAAAAGTAAGGCCATATCTTTAAAATAATAGTAGCAAAACTGTTTGGAAATATGGCAAGTTCTGACCTATGTATATGTATATGAAACTTACCACAGTGATCAAAATAATGAACATATTCATCACTTCCCCAAATCTCCTTTTTATCCTTTACAATCTTTTTCTCATATCCCTTTCCCCATCTCTACCTGCTATGTCCCATCCACTGATCTACTTTCTGTCACTATAGATTGGTTTGCTTCATCTTTTGTGATGTGACTGTAAAAACCTCAGTCTCTGCTTGGGACTTCTATATCCTGAGAGAAGAAAAGAGTGAATTTGGAACGAGTACCAGGAGAAAGAATAGAAGCAAACAGTAGAAAAGGATTGTGTGGAGGAACATAATTTTTTCATCTTTAGAGCAGTGGAGGAAATCTTTTAAGAAAACCATGTATAACTTTGCTGTGATAATCTTAGTGAAAGGTGAGCCTTGTATTAAGATGTGTCTCCCTTCCAAATACTAACCAAGCCTGACCCTGCTTAACTTCTGAGATCAGACAAGATCAGGCATGTTCAGGTGGTATGACTGTAGACAATAGGATGTGCCAACTGCAAGTATCAGAAAACTCGGATTTAAACTATCTTAAATGAAAGGAGAATTATTACACTTTATAAGAATTCTAAGGAACAACAGTTCCAGAATGACATAATCAGATGCTTAACAATGTCTCCAAGTACCCAAATTTTTTCTGTTTCTCTGTTCTCTTATTCTCACAGTAATGGCTTTAGTGTCAGGTTGCTTCCCTTCACAACAGCAGTTCCTCTTGTCATATCAAGACACGTGTCTTTGTTTAGGAGATAGAAAGTTCTCCATGAAAACCTCTAGCAGACATCCCATTAGCTAAACGTGCTCAGTGTACCCTGGTATGGTTTACATCTGCCTGACTTTGTCAACATTCTTGTTTTCTGAAGAGTTCCCTAAAGTTGAAGAGCTGTCACAGAGGCTTTAGCACTCTTCAACAAATGAATAAAAATGCCTTTCAATGAGAAAAGGAAAGAGACTTGGAGTAAGAGACCTGCTTTTGAAATCTTTACTTACCCAACTGGGCCACAAACCTAGTCAAATGAGATAAGCCCTTGTAGCTTCAGCAAAAAGACAGGATGTCTCTGAATGCCCAAATCTGCTAGGGGGATAAAAAGTTAACTAGGATAGCACAAATGGGAAAGTAAAAAATGTCTCTAACTGAAACACGTGACAAATGGTAAGAAATAGCATGCTTCAGTGCTTTCCATTTTATTTAAAGTGTGAAAAACCTCTGGTGAAAAAAACATTTTATAAGCTGTTTTGTTGTTTTTTGAACTAGGGTCTCACTATGTAGGGCCTTGAACTCTCATCCTTTTGCCTCAGCCACCTGAATGCTGGGATTGCAGTCATATACAACCATGCACAGCTTGAGTTAAGTTTTTGAGGCCTAATTTACATTTACCATAAAATTCATTCTTTTTAATATAGAGGTTTGAGTTTTGAAAAGTGTCTATAGTAGTGTAATTATCACAAAAATTTTGAGATCCATTATTCCCCAAATTTCCCTTGTACTCTTGTGAAGTCAACTCCTCTGCCTACCCTCAACCCCTAGCAACAACTGATCTGTTTCTGTTGCTTGATTTTTCTCCTGCTTGTGGGTCAGAAACATGATTTTTTTTTTTTGATACTAGGGTTTGAACTCACGGCCTCATGCTCTTAGACAGGCATTCTACCAGTTGAGTACGCCTCCAGCCCCATTATGATTTTTATGGTATGGATGTTTAATTTTGTTATGTTGTTTTTCTTTCTTTCTTTTTTTTTTTTTGGCATTACTGCAGAATTGAATTCAGGGCCTCATGCTTGCTAGGCAGGCAATCTACCACTTGAGCTGTTATGCCAGCCTTGTTATGTTCCTTTATATAATATTGGGCATTGTTCAGAAATATGGTTATGTAGAACCAGTTAAATCCTTTCAAGGATTTAAGGATGCTTTTAAGGATTGAGAGCAGGTCAAGAGCATTTATTTATTTAGTTAGTTAGTTAATTTTAGATAGGATCTCACTAGGCCAGACTGGCCTTGAACTTGATATGTAGTCCAGGCTGACTTCACCCTCATCCTGCTTCAGCCTCTTTGATTGCTGGAATTACAGGCATTTGTCACCTCACCTAGCTAAAGTAAACTTTTAATATAGGCTAACTTGGCCCTACTACTTTGACAGAGTCTGCCTGATACCCCATGTATTAGTAGTTCTTTCTACTCCTATTAGCAGAAACACACATTATTTTCTTTGTGGAACCCACCATGACTTCTCAGTTCCTCCTCTCCAGTGGTTCTTGGCCTCCTTGGGAAGTTTCCTTTTTCATATGTACACATCAGTGCTCAGCAACAAATAAAGGTATAGATCTCTATAGCTCTCTGTCAAAATTTCTCCTTGCCAGCTTAGATGCTTTAGCTTCTTTAAGTCTTCAACTTGGCAAGACTTCTTACTTTTCTTTAGGTTCTTCCTCCTTGCCCTGCAGCCTAAAAACTTCTCCATTGAGTAAGCTAGAATAATTATAGGGCACATCTTTGTTTTCTGACTTTCAGAGATCACAGCTCTATGCCACCTGCTGTCTAATGTCTGATAACCATTGTTTCATGTCTTTTGCCCATTTCCTATTGTTTAAGGGAGAAGGGTAAGTTACCTTGTTACCTCGTCATAACTAGAAAGAGGAAGGTCACTAAGACATTTTGATAAAGGCACACAATGTTCCTTTGGCATTATTTTATTGCAGTTAAGTCTGCTGAATGAGGATCTGCATAGAAGCTGCCTTGAACTAAAAATGGCATCAGATTTTGAACTTTTTTTTCATTTTTAAAAAGAAATATTTGCCAATACTAAAGAAAAAACATGGGAAAAATTAAAATCTTACAAACCCTCAATTCTAATACTACTACTATTTTTATTGCATATGGGCCCACATGTAAGTATAATTTTATATAGCTGTAATCAGGGTATCCTTCTAGTTTGTGTTTTTAGCCTATATAGCATGATTTTGTAATTTTTTAAAGTCTCTTTTAATGACTGCATAGTTTGTTGTTTTTCTGTAACACAATTTACTACATAAATGATTGCTTTTGTTTGAGGCATTTAGGGCATTTGAAACCATTGTGTGTTTAAAATTGGTAGCTTAGAAAAGAATGTTAAAACCAATAGCTTTTCTAAAGAAAATGCATTGATGAGGTTATTTGGGTGTCTTTCACTAAGGAACAGAACTGACAGGATATTTTGGAGAGAGTTAAACACTTCTCTGCAAATATAAGGAAGGGAAAATTCAGCTAAATTCCATAGTGTGGTATGTGGTGGAGGCTCCAGTGAAAAACCAGTGCACCTAAATAAATTTCACAGTTGAGTTGAAAAATAACAACATTCTCTGACCTGAAATAATTGTGTTCATTGCATGTATAGATATGCATATATACAGAGTAAAACTTCAGACTGTAGACTTGGAACTTGGAACTACCCCTTGCACTAAATCTTATGAATTAGAAAAGCAGCATGCTGATGAGCTATGTTTTAGTAAGGCTTCCATCTTGTCTTCTCTTTCATAAAATTGCATGCACTTAAAAAACTGAGGCATTGCTAAAACAGAGGCGGCGGCAAATGAGCTTTATTTCTTATCTATAGCCCCTCCCTGTGATAAGAGTTACTGCTGCCGTTCTTCTTGCTTAGGAACCCTAGGTCAGGAGCAGATGATGTGGGTACTCACATATGAAGTTTCTGTGCAGACCAGTTTCTTTTGGGAAAGTTTCTGATACGTTCATTCATTCATTCATTTGGGAGGCAGTCTGTTGAAATTAACAATAGCTAAGATTTACATAGCATTTACTCTGTGGCAGGCAGTTATCTAAGAGCTTTATGTGTATTAACTCATTCTCACAATTATTTCATGTATATGTTACTATTGTTCTCTAGTTGGTGGCAAGGACTAGACTTAGATGCTAGTAGTAGCTTTATAGGTCATGTTCTTTATTCATTTCTCTCTGTAAGTACAGGTTCTAGAGTCATTCCCTCCAGATTTGAATTTCAGCCCCATCACTTACAACTTGTGAACAACCTCAGTCGTCTTCCCTGAATCTCAGTTTCATGTATATCTCATGTAACCTAATTTTGTCCAGTGCCTGACACTTAGTAGACTCTCTGCGTATTTACCTCTTATTAAGTAGCTATTCATTAAAAAACATATTTGAGTGCCTACCAGGTGCTTCCTCATTCAAGAAGCACTGTGCTGCTTTGTCTCTTTTCTAAAAAATGGTACAGTTACTATAATGTGTGGTCCCGAATATCATAGCTGATAGGGGATGTGTTGTTTCTTTTTTATTTCAGTCATCTTTCTTCCTTTGAGTTTGGAAAAGAAATAGAATTTGGTCAGATAGGGAAAAATCTTCCTAGTGATTCATTTTACATAATGAAGGCAAAATAATTAAGGTCACATAATTAAGGCAAAAGAGCAAAACCAGTTTACTTCTTGGTTGAAACATGACCATCCTCTATCTGGAAAGGTTATTTATCCCGTTTGGCTGAGTTTATGCTTTTAGGTTTAGAAAGATATATGTGGAGCAAGAGGGGACACCAACTTAGCCAGCCAATTCCACTAAGTTAGCCTTGGTCACTAGTGAAATAATATATATGGCCATATTACCCTCACTCCCCACCCACTGTAGATTTTAAATGAATGTAAAAAGTAAGTTTTGAAGCCCTGTTGCAGGGAGGAGGGTGCTGAGGCAGAAAAGGAATATAGTATGGTTGTGTTTTTGAGCAGTACTGGAGTTTAAATTCCAGTTTATACAAGCCTGGTGCTCGCTGGGCAAGTATTCTACTACTTGAGCCATGTCCCCAGGCCTGGGAGTAGAGTATTTTGATAAAAAGTGAGAAGTTAGAGGAAAAAAATTCCCAGAGAGAATAATTGAAAGAATTCTATAAGCATTTATATTTTTCTCTAGGCTAAAGTTGTTTTTAACAGAAGATTGGCACAGGCTTTGTTTGGTTATTCTAATCGTGTTATTCTGAGGTATGTCTTCATTCTTCATATTTGTGTTTTATATCAGAGGTTTGACAGAACTGTGTTCTTTCCTTCTTTACAGTCCTTAGGCTTTCTACTAATGCAGGCCAGTGGAAAGAAGCAGCAAGCAAGGTGACCCATGCGTTGGTTAATATCAGGTAAGGAATGACAATTTCTGTCTTTCATAGTTGCTTGGCTCATCTGAGGTTTATTGTACCTTTCTAGGGAGAATATATTGAGCACTAGTACTATTTTAAGCCCTGATGTCTGTAGGAGTGGAAGAAACTGTCGTACTTGATCAAGAAAAGCAGGAGTACATGAGGCTTTCATTTTGTCATATTGAAGTAGCTTGAAGTGCTGGCTGTTCTGTGAATTTTCTACCAAGAGATGATTGCAAGCCCTTTTCAGGCATCTTAGCTGCCAAAGTATTTTCTATGTATAAGTCATCTGAAAGCTTTTCTCTGAAGATTTCTTCTGCTCTTCTCCATGACTTCACTGGATGACTCACAGGGATCTGGAACTTTGACATTTTACTATATGTGGCTATTTCTATTTGTGGTAAACAAAGCAAATGAGTCCATGAAGCGAAGACATTTTAGGCTCCTTATGAAACAGCCATGCAGTTACAGAGTGTTGTATATATTGTGTCAGACATGGAATTGGTGAGGGTCATAAGGCAGCACTACTCACTCACAAGAGTGGACTGTCAGTAAGTGGAGAGGAGAAAGTACATTTAGTATTATGAAAGCTAAATTTGACTTTTCTTCCAGTCCTTGCTCCCATTGTGCTTCTGATTTTCCATTTTCTCATCAGTTATTAAATCATTTCTTGCAAACAACTGAAAAATTAACATTGAGCAAAAGAAGCAAATCCGACAGATGGGGAACTTGATTTAGCTCCAGATGTGAGCCTTGCCAGACATTCCTGTAATAGTAATAGTAATTCACATTTACAACTTGGTATAGATTGTAATATGTGACAGAGCTGGGGTGTGATGTTTGTTTCTATACCTTCTTTTTTAAGGTAAAATGTCCTGTCCCTGCAGTGATTTACTAGCGTGTTTGGCACATCTGTGAATAAAAGGAATGCTGAAATGTGTGTGTTAGGAGGGCTGCGATGAGGGAGCATGGGGTGAGATGTGCTAACAAGATTGCAGTGAAGGTTGGACTGCCTTACCTGTCCCCAGAGGGACATTTTGCAGCAAACACAATTTTATAAATCTAACAAATAAATGCATATCTGCTCCTAGCAAATAATCCAGACACTGTAGTAAGGCCTTATGATAAATGTGAATTTCTGTGAGAATCAGAAATTACAAACTGTCTTCTCCCAAATATCCCTTTGTGACCCAAGGGCAATGTGACAAATATGGATGTTTGAATTAAGCACTGGATTCTGGGCTAGCATGCGAAGTATGTATGGGTGTAATTTATGTCATATTTGTTTATTCATGTATTTACACAGGCTTTCTAGGTAGCTTTTCATCTGGGGCCCGTTTCCTTGATCACATTCCTTTATGCTTGCTTTATCTCCTACTTTGTTGCTTTTCCTTTTAGTGCTTTCAGGCTTGGCTGCTGTCCTTATTCTTCCCAAGGGCCATCAAGTAGATGATTTAAGTTTTGGCCTCTCCTTTTTCTGAATAGCTGAGAAAGTATTGGACTAATCCTTGAAAAGGTGCCTGTAACCATAATCTCTTTCTTGCCTGACTTTGTTAAGCCTCTACTTTCATTTTCAGTCCTCATATTGAGATTGCTGCAGAGAATAATCACATCATTTTCACTGTTGCTAATGAATTAGAGTATATGCCTACAGTAGTAAAGATCCATTCAGTTTCCTCAAGAGATTATTGGAAAGATGTCTTTGAATCTTAGCACACTAAGTCCAGACCAGGGGAAACTGATAATATCAAGCACATCTCTTTTCACTTACTCAATGCCAGACTTTGTACTATCTTTTTAAATCTCAAATTAAATAGAATGTATTATATGATTGTTAAAATATACTTGTTATATTGAAACTGAGTCTTATGGATATTATTAACTGTGGGAGGTCCAACTTTTGAGGCAAAGCTAAGAATTAATCATAGGTTGTCTAACTCTAAGCCTCCTTTGTATAGTTACAGCAAAGGCTACTGTGGAGGCAAACAAAAACTTAGCATGACGTATTGAAAAAAAGCATGAAAATTTGAGTTAGAAAAACTGGTTCAAGGAGACAGAGATCAGGAGGATCACAGTTCAAGGTCAGCCCAGGCAAAAAGTTAGCAAGACCCCATCTCAGCAAATAAGCCAGGTGTGGTGGAGTACATCTGTAATCCCAGTTACTTGGGAGGCATAAGCAGAAGGATTGCAATCTGAGACCAGCACTATACAAAAAGTGTAAGACCCTATCTGGAAAACAATGAAAACAAAAAAGGGCTGGGGGCATGGCTCAAATGGAAGAGGATCTGCTAGCAAAGCAGATCAAACCTCCAATACAGCCCCTCAGTTGTTGTGGGTTTTTTTTTTTTTTTTTTTTGTCTTTACCATTTGCCATATGACCTTGGACTAAAATACCTACCTCATCTGGACCTCTTTCTACCACTTGTAAAATGGGAGTGATGGTGATTTCAACTATTTCACTGTGTAGTGATTATAAAAATAATATAATATGAGATGATATAGTAAATATTGAAGCTCTTAGCTCTTAGTAGACTAAAATTATGGTCATTTTACCTAGTATAGTGTCCATCACGGTTCATCCATCCTAGAGCATATGTCAGAATTCCTTTCTTTCCTAGGCCAAATAATATTCCATTGTATTAACAGACTACATTTTTTATCTGTTCATCTGTCTATGGACACTTGAGTTATCTCTACCTTTTAGTTATTTATTTGGCAGTAGTGGGGTTTTGAACACTGGGCCTTATGCTTGCCTAGTCAGGTGTTCTACCACTTTTTTGTTTTAGTCTCTCACATTTTGCCTGGATAGGCCTCAGACTGCAATCTACCTAACAGCCTTCCACTTAGCTGGGATCACAGGTACACATCACCACTCCCAACTTACTGAGAATTTTTTGTCCCAGTTAGCATTGAACTGCAATTCTTCTGAATTTGTTCTGAATGTGCTATCCAAGTAGCTGGAATTATAGATGTGAGCCACCGTGCAAGGCTTCTTTTTGGTTATTGTAATGTTGCTATGAACTTGGGTTCTGTTCAAGATCCTGCCTTTAAGCTGGGCATGGTGGCCTGTAATGCCAGCACTTTGGAGGCTAACCTGAGCTACATAGTGAGACCCTATCTCCAAAAAAAAAAAAAAAAAAAAAATCCTACTTTGTCACTGAGTGGGGAGCATATACCCTGAAGAGCAGTTACTGGGTCAAATAGTAATTCTGTATTTAATTTTTTGAAGAATTGCAACATTATTTTTTAGGTTTAGCATTTTGACCCTTTCTTAGAATGTTTCCTAAGTACATCTTCATTTTTCCTTTCTGTAAAAATAAAGATGTACTTAACCTTAAAAGATATTTTGTTCTTCCTTGTAGCAGACCTTGGTGGCTTTGAGTGAGGGTGGACCAGGGAGTTTTCTTTTCTCAGAATCAGTACTCTCTTGGCTGAGGGATTGCTGGAGGAAAGAATGATATGCCTGAGTGGTCTGCATTTCACCAAAGCGTGCAATGAATGCTGCTTTGTACTCCTTTGTCTTTCTTTAAAAGCTTGTGTTATGTCTGTGACATTATTAACTTTGGGTGGTTGAGAAAGCAAGAGCACGTGTTAGAAAATCTGACCTTTGGGTTTTCAGGGATACTGTGGTCTATTTAGCTATTGGTTATCAGGTTGATTATCAAGGATAGAGTATATAAAGAATTGCTGGGAAATTGTGATGCTGTACATAATATATTTCTGGTTTTTATAAGGGTTATTTGCACTGATTACACACCTGGAATAGATCTCTAAGGCAGACCAACCAAACTTTGATCTTTGATAGCCATGGGCATGGATTGAATTACAGTGAAACTTTCAGACATCTAACAGCTGGGAGGCTTCCCAGACTGGCTTGCCAATTGATAATACGTTCTAAACTATGTCTCTGAGATACCTCAGAATTCAGTGCATCTAATTACTGCACTCACCTAGTGTCTGCCAGGCAGGTGAAAGGCTGCAGATCTTTGTGTTCTTTGGAGCTTAGATTGTGACAATGAAAATTAAAGGTATTTCCCCATGACTGGAGACTTAAATTGCTCAAGTTTCAGTCTGTTTGCTTTTCACTTGTCTTTCATGACTTAGTCATGCTAGTTCTTTGTTAAAGTTATTTGTGTTTAAACAATTTGTCTCTTCCTGTTTGATCCTTCAGTGAGATTCTTAAGATGAAGCTGCTTAAAACCTACTATTTTTATTAGAACACATGATGTCATGAACAAACAGGATGCTATGTTTTTTCCTCCCTATAGGAGAGTTGTTTCACTGCTTTGCCATAAGAAAAATAGGATATGCTGTTCCACCTGTAAGGTTCTACTTTTTGGTCATATTGTTGCTTTAGGTGCTTCTACAGATTTAATCATTCACAAAGGATAAATAATTTGAGGGACCATGTGCAGGGCTCTTAGGAAAACATTACAAATGTTTTAAAGAGTTCCATGCTAAATATTCCTGCCACCACTCAGCAGGCTGTCCCAATGAGGTCTTGTACTTTAGGAAGATGTCTTGTTGATCATTAACCTCGTTATACAAAAGGGAAAAGAAAAATGTTAGACTACAATCTGACCTTCATCTAACCAAACAAATTTCAAGGTAACTTGAGGCTCTTAATGAATCTTTCTAAGTTAAAATCTTAATGCTTTTCACTTGATGAGCATTTTATTAGCACCAAGTTCAAAATTCTATTCTCTGACTGCTTATAGAAAAAAATACTGGCTGAGTCACTGCAAATAGGGGTTTTTCCTTATCTGTAATTTTCTTAAGATAAAGCTTTAACTCTGTGATTAGTATGTTTTCCCTTTATTTGGAATGTATTAAGATAAAGGTCAGTTTTTCTTTAAGAATAACTTTTTAGATATCACTATGGTTAGATGTAAGTCTAGGGGTGGGGATGAGAATTTAGAGCACTTCTTTGTAAGTCTCTTAGTTGTTCATGTAGTGGATGTGCCTTCTTTCCCCCTGTTATCTCCATGGTCTTTTTTATT